CTAAATGATTCTATGATTCTATGGATAATAACTAAGCTTTCTTCTTTTAATGCTTAATCCAGAGATGCAGAGATACTATTGTTACATCAAAAATACTACATCAAACCCAGGCTTTTTTTTTTAAACAAAAAAACAAACAAACAAACAAAAACAATAAACCACCACACAACCAAAAAAAAACACAAACTGCAAAACCAAACCAACCAAGAAAACCCCTCAAACCAGGCAAAAACTTCTATAGGATTTATACAATTAAAAACAAGGAAAAATACTTGCCAAGTTTTCAATCTTTGTGCTACTAAAAATGTAGTATACTAAGCAATAATTTGGACAGATAAATAAATGCAACTGCAAGTTGTACATTCAAATATCATGGTAAGAGTGTTAATTTTTACTTTCAGAGTGAAGTGTTACTGTTGCATTAGTACTGTTTTCCACTTTTCAGGAAAATTGCACGTATCTAGAATTCTTGGAGAACAAGAGCATTTCTTAGAAGCACAAAGAACTGAGTTAAAAGTACCATATATGCCTAGCAGAAACAAACAACACCCTCACTTAAGTAGTGGTTAAGCATCTAAGCATCTAAAGACAATCATGACACTACCAGTTGACAACAGTAATATTTTTGCATGCTTTGTAAAGACTACATGATTAATTGAAAACTTCTATATTTACAGATGTATTTAAATCACAGAGACAAAACAAGAAGTATGGCAATATCAAAATTCTTTTAACAGTATCAGTCTAAATTCATCAGTTCTAGGTTTTGTACCAGGTGGTATAGCTTTTACTTCCCTCATAATGTGGGGAATGTCACTACTATGTCAAATAGTCCTGAAGAAATATGCAAACTGAGATGACATTTTTTTCTAGGAAAAAGAGTATTATTATAGTTAGCATGCTTTACCTAAAAGCAAACATTATTATAAAATAATGTCCTTAAATTCTAATGAAGTGGACCAAGGTAAGAACATACCATCATTGTTGGAAAGCTCTGTCTTTGTGCATGTCATAAGTTTGGCCACACAGTGGAAGACAAGTTCTTTCTTTTCTTCCTCCATTAAAAAAGGTGCTAGACACTGAAGGGTATGTAATCTGCCCTCTGTTAACAGTAGAAACCTATTCATACAAGCAAAACATGAAGAATGAAACAACCCCAAAAATATAATTAATAAACAAAATGTCAATCAGTTCATAATGAGCCACTATCCTATGATGTAACTAACCCCACACACTAAACTGAGTCTCACTTCTACCATACACATACATTACCAAATTTCAGCCTTCAGTTGTCATTCATCAGAATCAGTATCATTGAACTTTATCAACATTTGCAACAAACTAAGAGTTTATAGACATCAGTACTAAGATACCCTTCTGTTGTCTTAAAAAGTTGTTTCATCTCAGAGGATACAGTGCTTTCCGCACGGATCGCTTTAGCCATGGTTAAGGACCAGAGTCGTCCATGCTCCTCCGATCTTGAAAGGAGAAGAAAGACCCTGGTTAATATATGCAGATGCACAGTTCTCAACAACAACATTTGGAAGAAGGTTGAATCAATAAACATAAAGAAATACGGTGGCACTTAATACTCCATACAAAGCAAAATACAAAGACAGAGTTAAGTGTTGTTTTACTTGTTTTTACATACCTATCGAATATTGTTTGCTGAAGGCTAGTTGTATTACTAAGTGTACTGAACTTCTCATATGTGATGTGCATTTCTTCTAACATGTGAAGATACTCCAGAAGCAGATCGGGAGGATTCTCCAATTCTTCAATCCATTGTAATGAGTACAACAGTTCTGCCACTAGTTAAACGACATAAGTCACTGTTTACTAACTACTGCAAAATATATTCAGACGTTTCAGGTTAAGGTTTTCTTGGTTCTTTTAGATATGTTTTCAATGCATTAAAAAAGATAATATTTACACACAATCTCAGGTGCTTCAGAGCATGAACTTGGTATTTGCCATTGCACCATAAAATACAAGAGAAGAAAAAGCTACAATAATCCACTCCAGATGTTCAGGAAATTTTAAAGCAAATTAAGCATGACAAGAACTCTAACTCTTCTCCATTCTCTTCTTTTTTTTTTTTTTTTTATATATATATAGATTTCTTGCAATCAAGATCTAAGACTACAAAAGAGCCAAACAAATTTGATGCTAATAGTTAGCATGTAGTTTCATTAGCTTCCAAAGACCTACACTGAACAATTACACTTTCTCATCATGGTGAGACTTTCAGAGATAAAATTGTTAATGGCTCTAATTTGAGCATTCTATAAATAAAAAGAAATAAAATTTCTGCAGGTGGAATTAAGAAAAATTGCTGCCTCAAAACATCTTTAAATTATGGCTAAACACTCAGGGCATTTATCTGATGGCATGGAGAGTTCCAACCCCTCACTCATATCAATGCACGTTTGGGCAAAAAACAGCTTTGAAGTTCACCGTTAATTCAGACTCCCCCAAATTCAAAGTTCAGTTAAGACAGCATGTATAGAATCACAAGGTCCTAGAAATATAAACACTACATTTGTGCATACTTATACTTTTAAAGGAGAAAAGAAGAAAATCACATCAAACAACAAAAAGTAACAGGATGATTTCTCATACCTATATGCCAAATTTTAACAACTCATTTTCAATTAGCAATTCAGGTTAATTTACAACTACTATAAAAAGAAATGCCTTTAAGTTTTACCGCTGTAACTTACTTATACTGTCAGTTTTCTTTATTTCAGCATCATCATTTCCGTGGACTATACCACTTTCCAACACAAGTAGCACCATTTTACTTAGTAAGGCTGAAGTACACAGATGGCCTGGAAGTTTAATTGTGCCACGCAGCTTAACACACGATCCCAAAGGTTCACAATTCATACTAAGCCTTCCTTCCAAAAGAGGTTTGTGTATCCACTGTAACACATGCATAAAAAGAGTATGAACAAACAATTGACATTTTAATGATGCATAAAAGAGCTATGATCTGTTTAACCTTGAAAATTCAGAATTATGAAATAGCCATGAAAGACACAGATTAACACCAAGAGAACAATAGTGAGGATGACCTACACCAGCATATTAAAAAAGAACCTAAATGCACAGTAGTAGCTTGATACTGCACTGTTGCCTAAAAATAAATATTTAGAACTCTCCGTACCTTACAAGAAATACTAAAGTTACTGAAGATTGGTGGCTGGACAGGAAATTTATGTCCTTCCTCACTCTTCCCAATATGTATGTCAGCATTTTTTTGATAGACAGCATATCATGATCCTCTGCAGATATTGGTGTCTTTCACAAAATGAATCTTATACAAGAATTAACTTAAAGATAGGAACATCTTCATAATGTATATTCTGCCAAAAAAAATTTCTGAATTGTTAAGTAAGCTACTGGTCTTCCATACAGAAAACAGTAGTTTCACAGATTATGGTTTTCTCCAGCAGTACTGAATGGGACCATAAACATACATATTTTGTCCTCTCTCAGTCAGAGCCTGAAAAGAACCTCTGCAGAGACATGTGTGTATTCATACCTGCAGTGCCATCTAAAAATAAAAAAATGTTTAGCACCCTAAAGGACAGAGACTTGAGGTAAGCTGACTACTGTGTGCAAGTTCATACCTCAGCAGATAGAGACTTCTGCAATGTCGCCCACTCGGTTTTGTTTGGCATGACATGCTCAATGTAGTCTCCCACAAGATATCCAGACTGTTCATCAGCTTCCATAAGCTTAGACAACAAATCACTAACCGCAGAGATCAAAACCTGAAGGCTGAGAAAAGGAAAAAACACTGCAAACAAGTTTGGCAATATCCAGTAAAAGCAAGCTGCTTTATTTTATGTTGATGCAATGATATATATTTTATCAACATTATATACATGCTATCCCAATGCTGGTTTAAATTATGCTCTACCCACAGTTCTCACCTCTGACATGCTGAAATATCTCTCAGTAATACAGATGCCACTTAAATAAAGAATACTATAGCAATGAGCTTAGCTTGTTTTGGAGAACAACGTATTATGAAATAGCCACGTACATCCCAGTTACCTTTTAACATCCAAAGAGGAAGACTGAATTTGATTCTTGACCCACAATGCAGATTTATGCAAAAAGGTGCTCTGGTTCTGCATGCTCCGAAGCTGACGCACAAGTGAACTTACACCGGACATCCAAGTGTGTTTTAATTTACATACAAGTAAATCTATTGTAGGAAAAAGAAAACAAAAAAACAAACCAAACAACCAAAGACCAAAACTAAACCACAAACAGACAAGCAAAACCACCACAAACAGGTGAGCTCAAATTACAGCTTAAGGCATACAGCAACAATCACATGGCTAAAGGTCCTAAAGCGGGAAAGAATTCTCATTTCGATGTGGTTACATTCAGCAACTATCAAGGGCAAATATACAGGTTTCTTGCTGTAGAACAGTTTTAAATTAACTGTGACACACAGGCAATATTTACTTGAGAAGAAGAGTGATGTTCCCATTTGCTACAAAATGTCCCTATGGTCTCCAAAACAGTGTAACTTTTTAAAACACTGAAATACTGAACATTCACAATACCAATAGTCATTTGCAAAGCAGCAGTATTTTTCAGGCTGGTATTGTCCTACTTCCCTTGTCCAACAACACTTCAGCATTCCTTCCTTTGTATCTATGTCAGTAAAAGCATATCTATCACTCTTAAATTCTATATGTATTTATCACTCTTAAATTCTGCATTCAAGAATCACGATCTCGGTCTGAAAATGAGATCCTGGTGGACAGAGGAATGTGTCACAATTTGTCAGAGCAACTTCAGCAAAATAAATGGTTTCAGAATGCTTATATGTATCTTTAGTGAAGTGATTGCACACATTTTTTTCATAGGATCTACACACTGCAGAATGAATGAAAAAAAAAGGCCCATTCTTTGTACTTCACAGGCCTGATATAACTTACGCAACACTCCAGAAAGCGTGGAATATTCCAGCTTCAAAGATAGCTGAAGCACAGGGACACTAACATCAAAAAGTTTAAATGCTTTGTAAAAATGTACAGTATTTGATGTTTAGTAGTAACTACTTGTTTGTAGTAGTAAATCAAAGCATGGTAAATCAAAGCACAAATTTTCGTGTCAGTTACAACTGCAAGTGCTCCAAGTCTATGAACTCCATATTCTGTTATATACCTACATCCCTTTCATGAAAAATACTTCAGATGTAAACACCTACAAAACAGCTCAGTTGAAGTTCTCTTTTCAAATTACCTGTTAGGTGTGTAGCATCCTGCCTCTGAGCACACAACTGGAAGATGGTAAGTAGCAAATCTTCTGAGGATGGCATCAGTAAACATCCTTTAAATGAGCTGAAAAAGCTTGAGGCTACATCGCAGATGAAAGATACTGATGGTTCAGTATTTCCAGCCTCAGAAAGATCCTTTGCTTTAGACAGAGCTTCTTGAAGTTTATCAATTATCCTTTCAACAAAAGTTTCACCAATCAAAGACTCTGTTGGGGAGAGGAAAAGACACCATGCTTTGATTGAATGATCATGTTTACCAAGTAAAGACATCATATTATTATGTACAGATCTGGGTTTTATTTCTAATTTTGAATGCAAAATAAAGTGCAAAGTACTTTCCATCTAATGTACACCTCAATTTCCTTTTTCATTCCACAGACATCTAGTATCACCTAGCCAAAGTTTCACATTGCCATGTATCCTTTCTCTACACCAGCTTTGACAAAAGGTGGAGCAAATGCAGAGTGATCCCATCCCCTTTTATGTCTTCCCAGCTTCTGGGAACCAATTGTGAGCCAGAGATTCCACCTGGACCATTGCATGTGATTAACCCAATCAGACCAATCTTCCACATGAATATGCTCAGGCCCCTTCTCACGAGATCTAACAAGGCTAATTCCATTTACCCACAAACTGCACAGCACCCTGTAGCAATGAGGTCCATTATTTAATTATGAACTATGTGAGGAAATATACTTTCCTCTTTCCTCAAGCCTGCTACAACCTCAGGCTCTTCCAGTTAAAGAAACAATCAAAAATCTTCCCCGTTTGCTTTTTCCATAGAAATTATGATATTATAGCTCTTTACCACAACCCCATCCCTTATCACTTTCACTGCAAGCTGAAAAATTCTAGTGTCTTATAGCCTCTACGAGCATAAATGACAGCATTTGCCTAACCATTCCTGCCTTCCTTCTTTGGGCATATTCTAATTCTATCACACTTTTTTTCAAAAGCATATGGGTGAACAAGAAGACTGCAGTGACTACAGGTAGTATTCAAGATATTAACACATCAGTGCTGCAGTAATTTTAATTTGTCTTTTCACAGAAGCCTCCAATAACCAGCATTCCTTTTTTATTGCTGAAAACCAGCCCAGGGAACCATCACAATGACTGAAGGTTTCTTTTCTAAGTTTGAGAGGCTCAGAGCCCATCAGTTAGAATTGTGTTCTTCCCATGTATAGTTTTGATGTTTACTGGTCTGGAATTTCATTTGTAATTTTATGAGTTAATCACTGCTATGGCTCTGTAACGTTTCAGTTTTGATTATGCTGAATAATTTATCAGAAACAATTATCATCCTTTCAGTATTTATCCTTTTTCCCCTTTAATTCCTATCATCTCAAATGTTAGTGATCCATGAAAGGCCCTTGCATTTACTCCATGACAGTTTACGTTGAGAAACTTAGATAAGAGGTCTCATTTTAAAAAAAGACCTTTTTGGAAGTCCACATACTCTATTTTGGCCTAAATCACCAAGTCAAGAACCACCATAGCTCCTGCAGGTCTCTTGGACTTCATTCGAAAAGCATTAAAAACAGGTCAGACAGCATCCAGCACAAAACAAGCTCAAGCTCTATAGCCAAAAAGCAAGGTCACTGGCCCATCAACCTTAGGACTCCTCTGTCTCACAAGCAAACTTGTTCAGCTCTCTCTGGAGAGAGGGAAGATGTTTTCCTGGTGCTCCTCTACATCAAAAATTTTCAGTAACAGAAATCACAATCTTAGAACACCTTCAGGACGCCCCATCTACGAACACCCACCAGAGTCAACTTGTGAGCAGCTTTGAAACTTGAAGCACCACAAATGTGCCCAGAGTTCAGATAAAGTGGAGTATGTTACACTTCAGGGATGACAGCAAATGCCAAATTTAACAAAGCACAAATGACATGCCTACATGGAAACCATCAAGAAAACTGAGCTCCCCTAGAAGTTTATACCACAGATACTATAAAATGCAAGGACGAAATGAAATAAGATATGCTTTATATGTAATCTATTTTTTACTAATAATAAGTGCACACACACAGGTTTTTAAAATACGTGAATCCAACTGAAAATAGCTCAAAGGAATTCATAGATCCTGTAGCAAGCCACGACCAATGCACACATGGGTCCATAACCATTGATTTTTGATATTCTAGCTTTGAAGGTAAATTTCAGATTATATGGTTTAATCATTTGTATTACTTTACAGCACATCAGATCAGTCAAACTTTTATTTTCCTCAGGTTTTTCCAGATTCACAAATTAGAATCTGTTCTTTAAACACTGACTTTTGTTTAGCAACGCAGACCAAAAAGACTGCAATGCTGCTGCTGCAAGTTAGCATTTGTGATATTCAACTGGACACGGTGAATTGGCTCAGACAAAAAAAAACCAACCAAACAAAAAAATACCCCAGAAATAACAAAACAAATACAGAAGAAAACCTAGATGTTACAAATTAAGCATTCTGGAAGATCTCAAATTCTTTTCAACCTTCCAGAAAGCTTAAGTGCAATATATATACTTCACAAGCACCAAGAAATAAATACGCTTACCATTTTTAATGTGTTGTGACAACACTAAGCTCAGGAGGGTCCACCTTTCTGAAGGCGATGATTCTGATGAAGCTGCTATAGGTTTTAAACCCAGATGACACAGATCATCTGCCAGCATTACAAGTTTTTCTCCAAGTGTATCTCCTTTCAGCCAGTCAAAGACTAAAGACAGTTTTGTTGTACTTGAGCATGCCTGAATCACAAAAAAATAACTCTAATAATCCTTTCATGGTATTAACTTTTATTACTAAGCATAAGATAAATATGTCAAACTTGCACACACAGAGTGGGAATCATATCACATGTCATAAACAGTAAGTCTTTAGGTATTTACATCTGCAACAATGCCCCAAACTTTCTTTTTGATCAGAGACAGCAACTTAAGCCTAGGTCAGACCTCTATTTCGAATGAAACAAATCACTTTCTAAAAGCTCTTAGTTTTCCTTTTTTCTGGCTACAGAGCCCAGGAATTGCAGGCAGAAAGATAACTTTCAGACAACTAGATTGGCAGAAACAAAACATATTTACAACATAAAATCTATTTACAGAATCTGAATTTCTCTAAAAAGAAATGGAAGATCACAAATTAGAAAATTATTTTGGTGATAAGCCATTATAAGCCATATAAAATTATAAAAACTGAGGATTCCTAAAATACAGTGTCTGTGAGGAAAGATATTATGGCCAACGCAATGGATTGTAAAACAATTGCTATGAGTTCTTGCCAAAAAACCTGTAAACTCCTTCATATTTCATTCCAGGCAATCACTTATATGCCAGCCTCTCAGCATCCCATGTAAAAAAAGGGTATGCTATCCTGTCCTTGCAAGCGTGACGATACAAATCACAATTTAAATTATTGGCCTGATGCCCAACTCCATTCTCTCTAGCTTAGAAACAATGACCAGAAACAAATCGGGAATCCCCCTGGCCCAAAGAGATAACTGATCAAAAATAGAAGGAACAGAAATGCTCTTGTTTATAGCTTCATTTCATTTCTATGACTTTCCCCAGGTGTAAATGCAATTAAACACTCTGAAACTACTACTACAAGATTTTAGAACTATGGAAATTATCACTACTTAAATTAAAAAAAAAAAAAAAGTCATTCAAACACACGTAACTCAACGCTAAGACCAGGGAAATATTTAAAACTGGAAAAACAAAAAAAAAAAAGGCTTAAGAGGTACCTTTTGAATTATCTGGAGAAAAATAATCCATTTCAGATCCATCTGAAAAGGAAAATAAAATTCCACAATGTTTAATAATTACTTTGCTGAACAAGACACATTTTATAACATTCTAACTGTTTGGTTTACTGCTTTATTTTCTACAGGGGATAAGTAGAAGTTTCTAAGTTCTGGTAAGAAAGTTATTAATTATTTTACTTTTGGCTTCCAAGTCTTTCTCTAGCACACAGATCAATATTGGACTGTTATTTGTAAAAAAGGCCACCAATGACAGCATAAAAGCACACTGTATAAAGAACATAAAAATTTCTCTGTTCTTGGTGGTTTTGTTTTGGTTTGTTTTTTTTCAAATGATTTATAGCATATAAAAAGGGACATATATCACAACTTGTTACCCCAACACTGTCATGTCAACCTTTCCTAAATCTACCTACCTTATGGTGAACTTATCCAAATTCACGTAGAATATCTTCCATTCCACAGCCCCAAAATGAAATGATTAACTAACCACAGCCCACAAAACGCATAATCAATTTTAAAAACTAAATAACAAAATTCATAAGTCATACCTTTGTTAAATCATCAAGAATGATTTTCCTTTCATCGTTACTGGTGCAACAATTCAGCACACTGTACAAAATATCAACCAGAAAATGGGTGTCTTTCCTCCAGTCTTCTTTCAGCCACGTTATTAAGTTCATATACAGAAACCGTACAGACGGACTTTCGTGATGAGCTTTCATTTCATTTTGGGATTCAGCCTGAGCAGAGCTTGCATCATTTCCCTGCTCTAAAAGTACTTGAAAAACTCTGTCTGAAGAAAAACCATTGAGCAGTGCAGAGAGAAATTTCAAATGTTTCTCTGACTTCTGCTCGTTGACATATGCAATACTCAGTTCAGCAAGGTTGCAGACTAAATTCTCTAAAGGTTCTTTCCTGAGAAGTGAACTATGCTGCAAGTCAGCCTGGACTTCAGAGTCACTATTTCTCATTTCCATGAGCTTTCCATTTTCTATGTTTCTTTCAGATTCATCCTCGTCTGTAAATCTGATTTTTAGAGATTTTCTGTTGTTTGGTTTTGCAGCACTCTTTGGGTTCTGAAGAATTCCTAGCATACCAGATATGGCAAACAAAGATTTCTCATCAGCATCCAACACGTCAACATGAAGTACGCACATTTTTAAAAGACAGTCCCAAAAATTTGACAATAGTTCTTGGAAAACTTCATCTGTGCCATCATCATTGGATAGTTCTGCTTTAGCTTCCCAGGAGCTCAGCATTTCTGCTATTTGGTAAAATAATGGCCCATTTTGTAATCTGGGCTCCTTAAGTACAGCATCAATAAGAGGAATTAGCTATAAAGGCAAAAAAAAATTATTAAAGAACAGTGATCCAACTAGATGATCGTGTTATTCTTATAATTCTATATTTTCTATATAGAAAATCTGTAATCTTGAAGAACACTCCAGAAGTAATTCCAAAAATATCAGAATAACTCATATTTGAAGACCTAATAAAAATATACAGAGTGGAATACTTTTTCTTTTCCTTTTTTTAATGTAATTTAAACTGCAGGGTAAAATGGATTATTTTACAGAAAGGAAAAAATTGAATAAATTCTGTAACATTTTTTCCCTGAACTCTAGTGAAATTTTCAAGAGAAGTAAATGCAGAAATCTATGTTGTTCTTTAAATAACATGTGTAAGTAAACATACACATGACAATATTAAGTATTTCTAATAAATACCTGGTCATATATAAGCATGTGATGAATTTGTCTTTGGTCACCCTCTGCATCCGTGTTCTGAAGCACGGCAAAGCGCAGGCACTCCACGAACGCCGATACAACGGCTGAGCTCTCCGAAGGGCTGGCGAGCGCTCGCTCACTCGACAACCTGTGGAGAGGCAACACAGGAGGGAGTCACCCCTGCTTCTGAGAGACCCAAAACCTGCATAACAGAGGTGACCCCGGCTACGTTGTTCTTATCCCGGCACCACCCATGTGAGACTATAACCATAGGATCACTGATACGAGTCAGATCAGAAGAGATTCAAAGCGCAGGTTTAAAGAGTCAAGGCATCTAATATTATTACATCAAAGCAACTTTTTTGTCTAGTTTTAGCATTCACACACACAAAAATCTGTGTAAGCAGAGGAAACATATCTAGCCAAGCATTCTGTCTACTGCTTAGGCTGTTTGTTGAAACTCCTTTGCAATTCTTACAGACACCACAGAGGTTTAGAAACTGTCACTTTGACATAACAGGAAAAAAAAAACAACACAAACAAAAAACAGAAGCCACCGAAAGACAGTTTCACCACAGGCAGTTGAGTCTGAACAACTGTGATGTTTGCTTTTTAATGAAAATTAGACCACATAAATTACCACAGAAATATTACAACCACTTTGCTACTTATACTAAAATTCTATACACTTTTCAAAACCAACCCATACATAATGCTCTTCTTCAAGAGCTCTGCTAATGGTCACACCAATATTAATCAAGAATTGACTTTTGTTTAAATATGTTACATTTTAGTCTTTCATAAAATAACTTATACATGCTTTTGAGTACACAAAACACATACATCTATTTAAATTAGATGTGATAGAAAGTTGGTTTTGATGTATTTTAAAGGTAAAAAAACGACTGCATTCAATTCTTTAAAAATCAGTATCACAAGAATTAAACTTTCTGCATATAAGAAATTTCGAAATCACAATACTAATCCCCAATAACATCTGTAATAACTACATGCAGTTATTACATCTGAATCTGAATCTTCAAAGCCTCTCTTAATTTTCCTATTTTGGAACTTACTATTGGATAAACACAAAGTTTTGACAGGGAAAGATACAAATGCTTCAGGCAAGGAAGCTGTAACAAAATAAAAAAGATGACTGAAGGTTTAAGACAGGGAGAGCCTCAAAGGACTGAGTCTAGTTAAAGATTAGTTCTCCTATTTCCAGATGTAAAAGAGTCTGATTCCAAATAAATAAATTTGTGGTTCATACCCTTGAATTATATTGCTGAAAAAAGTTCTGAAAAATTCCAGCTTTGGTTCTGCAATGCCAGGAGGTACCTTGCTAATGAATGGCAAGAGGTTTGGGTATATAAGAGTAGCTAGTCCTCGTCCACCTTCTCGAAGCACAGTCCATAGTTTGGGTAGAACTCCCTTCTTGGCATTTACATGACTCCAACAATCCTACAGAAAAACTGGATTAGTTAGCAAACAGCAATTAAAGGCTGCTCTCTCTTTAATAATGCTTTAAGGATGCTTCATTAAAATCATTATTGTAATGATCCTGTATTTAATTCCAAGTTCTTATTACCAAGAAGAAGCAATGACTTCAAAACCCTAAATTTAGAACCATTATTAACTTCAAAACATCCTTCAAAAATCTTCAGATGATTACAAAATACCTTGGCACTTCCCCCTGGCAATGAAGTTTTTTGTCATCTGATCTACCATCTTTCTAGATAGCTGTGTTTATAGAAAGCTGAACAAAGATATTTTTTCCTATAAATTGCCACAGTTTATAGCAGCAGTTACAAAAGAGATCTGCAGCATTAGACCCTCAAAACATCCCAGTCTATGGCAACACCACTCATCCTGCTCATAAATTGAAAGCTGGAAGTATTAAATTAGGAGGGTAAACAAAGCAACCAAAACTGTACAACAATACAAAAATACAGTAACTGTCTTTAACCAAGACAAAGGGTTTAAGTACCATTTTACTTCTTAATAACTGTATATAATCAAGGATATTCAGGTTAATTTAATTAAACTTATAAAAGAACTCTGCTTTTCAGACATGCTGGACACAATGCATTTGAGTTATACTGAAATTCTAAGGAGGAAGAAGGAGCACACAGCATTGGTAAGCTTGTGTTATTAATCATGAAGAAAACCCAGTCAAGCTATTCTCCTTCATTCTACACAGAGAACAATGGCACTTGGTGGAAAGTTAAATTTGAGTCAAATATCTGCCTCTTAGGTTTCCCACGTTACCTCAATAGTGGCGATAGCATAAAGTACAGCTTCCCAAAGAGCAGGACACACCACTGCATCACTGTCATCAATGCTGAGAAGAACAGCAGGACAAACTCTTGGTGCTTCAGCTTTCACCAGCTCGGGCAAGTGCTGGCAAAAAGCAGAGGTCAGCTCAAAGAAAGCTGACCGAACCTAACATAAGCCACAGGGAAAAAAAAAAATTAAAAAATTTTGTCAAATGACAACATTTTGACACTAAAAAGAATGTTATAAACTATATATGTCACCATAACTTGCAGCTCGTGGCCCCCATATTTTATCACATCAGCAATGACTTAAATATTATTAAAAATAAATAAGTTTGTAAAACTATTTAATATTTTAAAATAATTTGTTTACTGCTAATATACTTATAAAAAATTGTATATTAATATACTTCTCAAAAGCCATGTTTTTCCAAAAGCACCTTAAAACTTTTTAACAAAATACTACCAGAATCAATTTATCACTCTATGCACTATTGGTCTTAGCAGAACAAAGACTAACAAAATAGTTTACAAAAATGAAAATTCAAAAGCACCAATGATACATGCAGGGAGTTTTTACATGAATATGAAATTATGACAGATTGCCAAGAAGTAGATGTTAGTGACAGAAATAACAAATGAGGCCAACTGGCAAATTTTAGAGCGATACTGTCCATTTAAGGCCTAGGAATTTGAAGGCCATTTCAAACGTAATTCAGCTAATTACAGAGTTCACTCTTGTAGAATACAAGTAATTAATACATGCTTAGGTTCAGTGTATTATCTTTAAAAGCAACCAAAATAAAGAATAAATTAAAGAGTCACCTGTGGTATGTTGTGTTTGCCATATTTCCAAAATTTGTTTTGGGACAGAAGAGACATTAACTTTTCCTCCAATGAATGTATCTCCTTCTTTGGCAACATGATAAGCAATTTTTTTAAAGCTAGCAATGAGCAAGTCAAAATCCGGAAAAATTTGGCTTCCCTTTCTTCCTCTGGTACAGTTCTTATAGAACAAGAAAAAGCAGAAAATGCTGAAGTGAACCATAATAAACCAGTAGTCTTCTCAAGCTCTTCTAAACTGTCTACACAGTTTTTCTGTGTTCCTCTTTTCATTTCAAATGCCAGCAATGTAAATATGTAAACTTTCAGTAGGTTCTAATGCTACCAAATTATACAATAAAGTGTTAGAAACAGAGAGTTTCAAGTAATCTCATCTTCCAGCTATTCAAAAATGCTTCTCCTAAAAGAGCTGAAGCAAGAATTAGACAATTTATAACACTTTCAAAAGCATTTATACTTTATTCCCAAAGAAGGCTGTTGGGATCTGGACTCAAATAACTATTCTGTCTCTTTAAACAAAATGAAATCCACCACCTTCAGGGACAGAGAACCCAATACAGACCAAGACTTAAACCATATAGGCTAAAGCAGGCTAACATACTGGGGGTCACTGAGTGTGTCAGGTGTTTCTTTCAGAAGGTGATCTTGAAGTACCTAGGGAAAAAAAAACCACAACATATATAAACATGAGAATCTAATATTTCTATATGAATAATATAACCTGTACATTATTCAGATACAGCTCTACAATGAAACTTCACAACCTCTGAGTTAAATCTCTTGAATACATTTTAGGCATGATAGTGAACAAGAACATTTAACTGACTCCTTCTGAATGTAGCAGCCGTGGTACTGTTTGAATCAAGACTTTGCAATTCTTTGTAAGTTGCAGTCTTATGTCAACATGTTTCTGCTAAAAAGAAGCCAAACTCAGATAAAATAGTTCAGTTTGCTAATGATGGGACAGCAATGTAAACTTCTACCTTGTCAAATTGAGCCAATTCACATTCATATATGACTGGTGGAAGAGGATTAATTTTGGTCAGAACTAAACTTGTAGAGCATCCCTGAAACACTGCTCTGCATTCTTTAACCCTTTATCACTGCAGCTAAACTACTCCAGCATCATTTTTCCATCTGTCAGCAACATTATGTGATGACTCAGCATCGTTACACAGAAATGCACACAAGAAAATTCACTTCCTATTCACTTTGTTCCTCTGGTCCCAGTCATTTTAACAGCAAGTCAAAAGAAACAGAGGATGTGTCTCTGCCTCAGTCTTCTCCTTACCCTAGCAGCAGCAAAGTTTCAGGTGATAAAGAAATGGCATCAGAATGAGCTTTAAACTTTCAATAGAAGTTGACATACACTCAACAGAAAGCTCTAAAGAAATATAAAAGTATAAACTCACATTAAGAATTTCATCTTTACAGAATACTAAGGCTTCAGGTTGTTTGCTTGAAGGAAAAGCTTTTTCAAAAGCTGCTTTTGCGGCAGAAGCAGCAGGGGAGTAAGTGTCACATTGGGCAATCAGCCAGTAACCCATGATACTTTTTAAGTGAGGAGCTAAATGTTTCTTTACTTTAAGAATCAGTTGCTCAAAAGATTGCTGAGTTGCTTCTCGAACACGGCGGTCATGATCCTGTTAAAAAAAGAAGCAAAAAATAAAGAGAAAGGTTTCTTGTTCTAATAAATGTACCTTTGATGGCAGGTGCTTCAAAGAAGAAGTGATGACAAAAACCAAAAGCTGCCTCTCGGTTCAGGCATTTTCACAATGAATCGGGCTACACAGACTTGAAAATATGCAGCAACAACATCATTATCATCATCATCTTGGGACAGGAGAGTCCCAACTTGGTACCATCATATTCCTGATGTGTTATATGTTCAAAATTGTAACTTTCTCCTGATATCCCTAACAACAGTTTCAATTTCCATTTTATACAAACCTCTAACAGGAAGACAAAAAGCAAGTTAAACAGGAAGCCTTGAAAACACAATTTACACCATCATGACTTTCTAAGCACTTGGCTCCTGAAAGAAATACTGGGAATTACCATAATGGAAAAGTGATTCATTTAGTCCAACATCACGCTTCCAATAGTAACCAGTCCAGGCACTTTGGAGACGTATTAAATATGTCAGGAAATTATGGATTATCTGGCTGTGCACAGTATTCTCATAGTGTTTTGGGTTTCTTGTTTGTTTGTTTGTTTTTGTGGGTTGGGCTGTTTGATTTTTTTTTTTTCTTCTATATTAAATCTGGTCAGATAGTAGTCGTAGATCGGATAGATTTAGGATTACACTAACTGAACAGTACATTCTCTTTAGCCATATTGGAACCTACACAGAAGAACTTAACAAGAGAAGAAATATCTTGTCATCTTTTTACCACAAAGGTCCAACAAATTACTACCTCCATCCAGCAAGTACAGTTCAAGATTCAACCCACTGCCAATACTGAAGCATGTCCACAATATACATTCCTTTCCTTCATGTTTTTCCTAGAACAAGCCAGGAATTCCAACAAAGTTAAATGTACCAATAAAGACTGCCTTAGAAGTTATCACAAGACGTATCCAGAAAAGTTTTTTATTTAGATACCTTAATACTTACTAGTGAGATTTTACAATAAATTCTTGGCCAGTAAGGAAGAACACCTTTAACAACTTCTGCTTCTCTTTCCTTGCACATTGTCCCAAACTCTTGCATAGCCTAAAATCAAAATATCAAGAGTGTGACTTAAGAACTCAGATAGATACATTCTGTAATTTACCCTCTTCTACCAGACACTGCAACTCTCTTTTTGAAAATCAATTAATTTCTTACAACTGAGCACATACAGAGCTAACTTTATGAATGCCCTGTCAGCACTGTGTGATGAACCTTTCCGTAACTCCTCCAAGATGCTTTCTGGATTTGCAGTTTCAGTAAATTTACCAATATGAAATTAATATTAGCTACCTTGATATAATCCTCTCTCATCCTTAAGAAAAATGTATTGTTTTCTGATTAAAAAAAAAACCATAGGGAATAAAGGATACACTGACCTTTAATTTTGTTGTGACGTCCCTTTTGGAAAGTTTTCTCAACACCATCCGAAAATCCGCATCCACAAGGCTGTCAATTTCCTCTGCACCTTGAACTGCAGGAACGTAGCCCAGATCACTCTGAGATGTTCCAAAGCCAATAAAACCAGGCACTGTCCCACGCTCTTTGGCAAGGAGCTCTGCAGCTCGGCCACTGCTAGAAGGCTGACAAAAAACAGCAACAGAAGCCACCTATCAATTTCAGTCCATTTAGTTTATTTTGCACACATCACACATTTGGAACAATGACTCTATTTATGTTGCATAAGTAACCTTCTATTTAAAACAAAGTCTCACAAAAAAGGCCACCTATGGCTTAAACATAGAAGTTTGACCTAGAAAATTATTCTTTTTAGCATCAGCACTTGCTTTTCTCATAACCCGTTAATATTTATTGAAAATCGTATTTGTTTTATACACATACAAAAAAGTATAACAAAAAAGTCTTTCTGTAAGTGAACAGCTTATTAAGGAACCATTTACCCTCCTTCACACTTCTGTTTTTATGAGTTCTTCTCATGTTATTGCACACGGGCCAATACAGCTCCCAAGGAATGTTCTTTGTATCATTGAGAAAAATAAGAGCACAGATGAAACAAAGGACGCTGCCAGCAACAAAGGGGCCAGGGATTCAGAGGAATGGAGCAAAAGGGACATGCCAACACGGTGTAATACTAACCCATTGTACGGTGAGTGTTTTGGAGTTCAACATCTCTCCTAATTTCCCCCAGCTACGTCAACTCCTTGCTCGTCATATCAGTGGCTCATGTGTATTTCAACCACACTCTTTTGAAAAGATTGTCCCAAAAAATGACAGATGCTTTAATGGTGGTGAAACACTGGGACAGGCTGCCCAGAGAGGTGGTGGAGGCCCCACTCCTGGGCAGATTCAAGGTCAGGCTTGATGGGGTTCTGAGCAACCTGAACTAGTTGGAGATGTCCCTGCTTACTGAGACTTACAGACTTCACAACCAGATGTGAAGATGAAATTTTGTGGTTCCTTCCAACTCAACGCATTCTGTCATTCTGTGTTCCTTCCGATACCTTACAGGCCAAATACTTTTTGTTTCCTACTGACTGTTTCAGTTTTATGAGTTTTGTTGGTTTTTGTTTGGTTTTGGTTTTTTTTTTCCCCAAGTAATGACAATTTGCTGAAGCTCATCATAGTTTTCTGATTTTCTTGAAGTACATAAGCCACGTTTTACCTGACTAAGATTTTACCAGATTAAGTCATTTTACCTTTACCAGATTAAGTCATTTTTTTTTCTGCATGTGAAACCTCAAAGACACACTTCTTTGTGGTCCCTACTCTTTTCTAAATACACGAGAAGTCTTGTAGGAATTGCATAATCTGAACACACTGCTTCACCCACGATTCTCCCATCCTGAGCGAGTGCCACACACGGTGGCTGTCACACGACATCAGGCACGGTGGCAAGGCGGAGATACCACGACAGGTGCACTTGAAAGGCCCTTCACAGAAAAATACACCAACTGTGCCCACCGGTACCTTGTTCAGTTTACACTCCCGATGGCTCAGCAGTCACAGCCCCCTGCCCTTCGTCACCCCTCTCCGGAAACGCTTACAAATGCCCCGGGATGCTCCAGCCCGCTCCCTCAGGCCACGGACTCGGGCCAAGAGTCGTCAC